AGAAATTCATAACATTATTTTGGCGACTATTCCGACATAATTTAAACGAACAATTTTGTTGAATGTGTTTCTGGAATTTTTTACAAATTTGCATATACTCACATACACACACACACACACACACACACACACACACACACACACACACACACACATACATACACATGCGTGAACACTCGAAGGAACAAGCTACACGGACATATGATATATAAATGTACACACATATGCAGAACAACACAAACACATACAAAATTACGCATACATTAATTCAAACATACACACAAGTATCCAAACAAACAAGCAAACAAACAAACGATCAGTTGATCACAATTTAAAAAAAAAACATCAAATAACAGTCAGTCGAAAATTTGAGAATTTGGCTACATGTTTGGTTACCATTGGAAAAATGATGTTTAGCAATCAGTTAACGGTGCATCTGGTGTCTCTAATAAAAACCCTCATTCACTGACACTACTAAAACAAGCGCTTTCCTTCTAATCGATTTCCAGAAACTATTTTTAGCCTGAGTGAAAAATTTGTTTTCGTGCGTATCTTTCTGTGTGTGTGTGTGTTTGTGTGTTTGTGTGTGTGTGTTTGTTTGTGTGTGTTTGTTTGTGTGTGTTTGTCTGTGTGTGTGTGCTTGTGTGTGTGTGTGTTTGTGTGTGTTTGTGTGTACGTGTCTATAAAACATGAAGTACATGACATAGTTTTTTTTTGTCCTAAAATGAACGTTCATGCGTATGCACGGTTCTCAGAAGCATCTCTCAGATGAGATGACAGTTTATTCCTTTCTTCTGCTGCAATTCGTTTCAGGATTTGAAATTGGAAAATTTTTTTTACCGATGACAATAATGATAATATAGTGATGATGATGATGATGATTATGATGATTATGATGATGATGATGCAGATGATGATGACGCAGATGATGATGATGCAGATGATGACGGTGGTGGTGATGATGACGATGAAACCTTAAAAAACATTTTTCCTCTAAACACAAAGACGTCTCTCTTTATCTTTGATGAACTTTCTTCTTACCTCTTCAGTCTGCTTCTCTTTCTCTCTCTCTCTCTCTCTCTCTTTCTTTCTTTCTCTCTTTCTCTCTTTGACTCTTTTTTTCTCTCTCTTTTTCTTTTTTTTACTCTTTCTCTCTTTTTCTCTCTTTCTCTCCCTCTCTCTTTTCTTCAGAAGAAATTTTTTGTTTGTTTACTGGATGTATTAAAACGTGCCGTAAGAACGTAAGTAAGCAAAGAAAGGACGACATAAGAAACCAGATGGGGAGGATGATGATGAGGAGGATGAAGATGTCGAGGTGATGATGAGAATGGATGGAGAGATAGTGATGGGAATGGAGAGATGGTGATGGCGACGACAACGATGAGACCGCGATTATTACGACAAGTACAATAATGATGAAGATGATGACAACGATGATGATGAAAAATGACAACAAACAACGAAATGACGTTGACAATAACGAAGACGACGACAATGGCATCAAGAAGGACTAGAACACTTGACACATGTCAGGAATACTGTCAAGTACCTATCAAACAACGACCCTTTCAAGTTTTTTTTTCCTAGTAATAGTAATAACGGTACTAGAAACAATAATACTACTACTAACACTCCCTCTACTACTACCACTACTACCGTTACAACTGTTACTACTACTACTACCACCACCACCACCACTACTACCACTACTACTACCACCACTACTACCACCACTACTACTACTGCTGCTGCTGCTTCTGCTGCTGTTACTGCTGCTACTGCTGTAATAATATCCAGAAACTTAGTACAAAAAAGGCCGTTTCAGGTTTGACTAGTATTAATATTATATTTGACGTCTCAGATTTCTGTGTTTTTCTAGTATATCATTTTGTAGATTTTTGTTTGTTCTCTCTCTCATTTTCTCATTTTCTTTCTCTTTTTTTTCTTCCTTCTCTCTCTTTTCCCCTATCTCATTTTACTTTTCATTCATTCTTCTTTCCTCATTTTCTCTACCCTAAAATTATTTTTCTTGAAGAAATAATTGACAAATAAATGGATAAGTCCAACGGTTTATAATGCCTCTACGAATGTATGTGATGTTATTGTTTGTGTGCCCGTATACTTGTTCGTTCTCTCTCTCTCACTTTCGTTCTTTCTATCTCTCACTCTCTCTCTCTCCCTCTCTCTCTCTCTCCGTCTCTGTTCATCTTTTTATTGCCGAATGTAAACATTTTAAATTTTGTGTGCTTATTCTGAAGTAAAAATGATTTTAGCAAAATCGTTTTATTTCAATTAATTAATTAATTAATTAATTAATTAAATAATCAAACAATAATAATTTTATTATAACATTTTTAAAAAATAGAAATAAATAAAAAAAACTTACCCTTCCTTTTCCAAAATGAAAATTGAATTAAAATTTTCTTCGAGTGACCGTTCGTTTAAAAGGCTTGCTTTGAAATTCTCTTTTTCAATTTTTTTTCTCAAAACCAACCTCTGAAGAAAGAAAGATGATGAGGATGATAATGATGAAAGTTGAGATGTGTGGGCGGAGTAGGAAAGAAATGGATGGATGGATGGATGGATGGATGGATGGATGGATAGATGAATGAATGAACGAACGAACGAATCAATCAAGGAATAAAAGAACAAAGGAATGTGGGCTAAAATAAAAGAAAAGTTAAGATTTAAAAAAATAATCAAATAAGCAAGTGATAGAGCGAATGTAGGAAAAAAATTTAATTAAAATTAATTTGGTAAAAAAATTTTAATTTAATAAACGAAAGAAAGAAAGATAAGATGGAGAAAAGTTCTTCAATCACTCCGCAAGTTTTCCAGTTTCTTATTCAAAGTTGAGAAAAAACGTTGTTGCCATTGCGGGGTTGAATTTTTGCATTTTACGCTCTATTTTCCGTTCTTTTCTGTTTATTTCTCTCTGTTTTTCTCTCTCTCTCTGTTTCTCTCACTCTGTTTCTCTCTCTCTCTCTGTTTTTCTCTCTTTACCTCTGTCTCTCTTTCTTTTTCTCTCTCTTTTTTTTATCTGTCTATCTACCTGCCTATCTGTCTATTTATCTATCTATCTATATATATATATATCTTCTTTCTTTCCTTCTCTCTCTCTCTCTCTCTCTTTCTATTTTTTCCCATAATTTGGTTTGGCAAATTCATTTGTATTTTTTCAAGCGTTTGGTAAGGTGGCGATGAAAATTTAATGGTGTGTCACGCGAGGCTCAGCGCAAACCAAGGTTAAAATATTCGTGAAATATTTTTCCGCTTATTTCTAAAGGGAATTGTAGATTGAGAGTCGAAAATGACAGTGCATGTTTGTGTTGTGTATGTGTGGTGTGTCAGGGTGTGTGTGTGTCTGTGCGTGTCTGTGTGTGCGTGTCTGTGTGTGCGTGTGTTTGTGTGTGTGTGTGTGTGTGAGAGAGAGAGAGAGATAAAGAAAAAAAAGAAAGAAGAAGAAAGATACCGGAATTATTCCACCACACTTTTGTACCTACTTTTTGATTTTTGATTTCATTAGAAACTTTCGAGTTCAAACTTTGATCGCTCTTTTTCAAATTTTCTTTTTCCTGCAAGTAATCTGTTATGTTTTGTATATTTAAATTTTTACACACAACAATACGAAACCGTGTCCGTAACATGAAAACAACTACGCTATCTGTCGTTTAGAAAACTTTTTTTGCATGTGTATGTGCATGTGGGATGAATATTGTATGTGTTTGTACGTGTGTTTGTTTGTACGTGGATTCATATGTGTGTGTTAGTACGTCTGTAAGTTTTTGTGAGCAAGTTTATTATGGTTTATGCGTATATGCTGCTTATATATATATATATATATATATATATATATATATATATATATATAAAACATCAAAGAACCAGACAAAATATATAAATTATTTGGTTGTTGATGAAACATCTAAATGTGAATTTTACAATAATGATCCATTCTGTAATAAATCAGACTCTCCCTCTCTCCCTCCCATTTTTTCTCCCTCTCTCTTTCTCACTTTTTCTCCCTCTCTCTCTCTTTCTCACTTTTTCTCCCTCCCTCTCTCTCTCTCTCTATATATATATATATATGCATCAAGGAATAATTTCCTCTCAGGTAGGACATAAAATATTGCTATTACTTCTTCAGACAAAGTTTTTTCTTGGAGTCTGACTTTTTAAAAAATAAAACAAAGATGTGAGTATTGCATTTATGTGTATATGTGGGTAAATATATTTATACATACATATATACAAATGTATTAACATATCATCACATTGTTTGCAGCTATATAGATGTAAATTAACTGAACTACGTATAATTGTAAAGATGAGATACCATTCATTATAAGCATGGATATAATATATATGTAACATATAATATATATCCGTGATTATAAAGGAAAAATTTTCGTATGTAATTCTAAAAAAAAGCAGTGTAAATGCATTTAATATATAACTGGATTATTAATGAAGTATAAAATTTTACCAAATAAACAGATATAACACGTTTTAGTTTAGCAAAACAACTGTATGGTGTGGTACTCTAAGGAAAAAATATAACTGCATTTAGTGTCTTTAGATAACTGTTTCGCTGCCAGGTCTAGTCGGTGCCAACTTAATTATCCTTAAGTGAAAGTGTTTCAAATTTTTTCAATCGATCGATTTTCAATTAAATTTCACTTTTAAACATCTTAATTTCTAATTTGCGAATATACTTCTGTTAGTATTTGCTCAGGTTTATCCTTGTTTTTAAATTTTTAAGTTATTGTGATTAGTAATTGATAATTTTTTGCAAGTTATCCATCAATTGAAGTGAAGTGAAGAACTTAATAATTTGTTCACTTTCTGCTACTATTTCTAACTTTCTTTTACAAATTTTAAAGCTTTTATCTTCTCTATTAACATCAAAAAACCAAAGGTTTCTGAAAGCTAATAAGGCCTGTCAATCAAAGAAGACATCAACACCAAATTCCAATTAGGAAACTAAGCAGCAAAGAGAGATGGACCCAGAGCCAGTTGAGAACAGCAATATGAAGGAGATTGAGAACTACATTCGAAGCCACGATATCCAGCAATTACTGAAGGATAGCATCATCCAACTCTGCCTGCATCGGCCAGAAAATCCTTTCGCATTTCTTAGACAACATTTTGAGAAACTAGACAGGGTTAGTTAGTTAGTTTGATAGAGGATTGAATAAATGGATGAATTGTTGGATCAATTATTAAGTTTTTAAATTTTATATCCAAATTTTACAATGGCTACAATTTGTGATAATAAGCACACATTGTTTTTTTCATATATGGACTTTCATTTTTAGAGAGAATTCATTTTTTGTATATAGAAATCTGTAATAATTTAGCAGTATGATGTGTGTGAATGTCGGAATAAGTATTAGTGTATATGTTTGCATGTTTTTGTGTATGTGTGTATGTTTTGATTGTGTTCTTTTGTATGTGTGTATGTATACATTTATATGTTTATATATTATGTTTGTATGTTTGTGTTTATGGTATGTTTGTATGTATTTGTCTGTATATACATATGTGTATATTTTAAATAGTTGTCTGTATAGATATATATATAAATGTATATTTTGTGTATGCATGTATATATATATATACACAGATAGATATGTGTGCGTGCATGCGTGCGTGTGTGTGTGTATACAATGTACAACTCTTTTATCTCTTCTTACATTCTTCATTTTAAACCAGCAAGCCATCATTGTACCTATGTCATCATCATCATCATCACTAATTGTGTTATATATAAATTCATATATATATATATATATATATATATATATATATATATATATATTATTTTAAAGTATTTCAAAGTATTTTATACACACATATATATATATTCTTTAGGCTTCGTACTGTTTGTGTCAAATTGTATAATAATACAAATACCATCAGAAACATAAAAACATATATGTATCATATATACAGAGGAAAAGACGGGTCTGCATTTATTGTATACATACATTCGTTCCTACATACAAATATACATGAAAACTTACATATGTATTTATTTACTCACATCTATCCATAGACATACATTCAGGCATACCTAATATAAACAAACATAAACACACACACATGCATACATACACACACACACATACATACATAAATGCATACAAACAAATAAACATACCTATCTAAAAAGCATACATATGTGGCAGTTGTCTATTTTTTATTGCTTTGTTTTGTTTTATAATTTCTATATTTAATTGTTTTGCTCTGTTTTTGGGTTATGTAAAAGTTTTAAGTTTGTTTGTATGTGTGTATGTGTTTATGCGTGTGTGCGTGTGCACGTGTGTGTGTGTATGCCTGTTTATTTATATTTCTTATTTTTTACATTTGAACAATCCTTCTCAAGCCATTAATAATCTATAAATGAGAAAATTGTGTTGTCTTATATATAAACCACACAGCTGTGGTCTTGTTCATTATTACATTTTTTGTCAGTTAAGTTAGTAACAATTTTTTCTTGTTAAATGAGGATGATGATGTTATTTAGTTCCAGATATTATTGTGTATGTATACGTATGTGTATATATTTGTGTATATGTTTGTATTCATGTGTGTTTATGTATGTGTGTGTATATATGTATGTATGTGTGTATATATTTGTATGTATGTGTGTATATTTGTATGTTTGTGTGTATATGTATGTATGTATGTATGTATGTATGTATGTATGTATGTATGTATGTATGTATTGTACAAAGATATTTTGTTTCATAGTTTCTCTTCTAGCCTTTCAGTTAAGCTTT